CCTCCAGCCAGTTGGCGACCCAGTTGTCTGTGTGGGTGTCTACACCACAGTCCCCCAGTTTCTTAATGAGAACAGGGTGAGAGACAGTGTCAAAGGCCTTCCGAAAGTCCAGGAAGACGAAAGCACTGTTTTTAATATGCAGCCTAAATCTTTATCTAGGTTAGAAAGTAGAGTTATTTTCTGACTAACCAAGTCACTAGAACTGTTAAGCCCATGTTTTAAAGACAAATTGCAAACTCAAATATTTAAAGTGAATGTAGGAAAGTTCAAAACTCTTAAGCTGTTGTCCCTATGGGTCTTGCTACATACTAGTGAGGGACCACAGTATTGTGGTTTTAACCAACAAGAGCTTGATTTGTCCTGTATGTGAGAATGCATTAAGAGCCCCAAAATCCATAATTATTCCCCTTTTCATTTTTGAATCCGTTTTGGACAGTAGGGCTTACCCTCTTGCTAATCAGACAAGAGATTACCTTCCCAACCTACCTTTGGAATGCCCCCAAAAATGCTGGAGCCCAAATGAGCCAATGTCACCTGCACAATGTTTATGTTCCCTCAAACACTACTGAGCACAGTACATCTGGGAGCATGAGGGCCTCTCTGCTGCCTTTGAAGTTGCACGACAAGGCAAAGCTGTATTGCCATGGTGGCCAAAGCATAGCTCGCAAGCCGCATGTGGCTCACCAGCACTTTTCCCAGGACTGCCGGCTCCGGCACCGGGCTGCCGGGGCGGGAGCTTCAGCTGTGCCACTTACCCCAGGGCGCACTCCCCACGGGGAAAGCTGGAGCAGCTTAACGCTGTGGCGGCAGAGAGGGTGGGGGGTGGTCACCTCTGGTCTGGGTCCTCGGCATCCCCCACCCCCCTGCACTCCAGCTCTTGAACTTCTGTGGAGGATCGGATTTAGCTCCCAGGTTGGGCAACCCCGACCACCCCTGCTGTATTGCTCCCTGCGTGGACTCCCCAGTGTTTGGGGATAAAAAGGAGGAATATGCCAGCCCACAAATGGATACCCAGGTAATCCCTGGAGGAATTTCAGCAGGATCTGAAACGGAATAAAGAGCACCTTCGAGATGGCAATGTCTCCGGCCACAGAAGAAATCCACACGTGGAAGAATCCTTTTTTCCACACATCAGTAGGGTACAGTTTGGCCAAGTTGAAGGTGCTGTCTGAAACAAAGACTTGTATTACTGGTGTCTACGTATCTATTAAGATTCTCAGAACACACCTGCCAGAGTAAGGGCCTCCTTGCCATTATCAAGAGGCAAAAACACGTGTTTAGGATGGGGGGGGCTACAAATCTAGTCCTCTCCTCAGAATTTGCATGGGAATAAACTGAAGTGCATTATGTAGAATTACATCCTTCTCTGAAGAAATGCATGCCTAATGCCGCTACTAATGATGTAAGCAATGATAAATTTTATTGTGAATAGGGCCAGTACTACAGATACTGAAGTAGCATCTTTTTTGGGGTAGATTCATCTCTAGCGCTGGTATAATGTTGTTGATCTCAGCAGAATCGCTCCTGATCTGCAATAGTGCAAGTAGAGAATTAAGCCTCTTGACTTCTATAATTTATAGAGGTTTAGTCCCTCTGTGCACCTGTACACATGCCCAACACCTGCTCCAATGCATTCTAATTGGAACGGGTCAGAGCAGACTCAATATAATCTTACCAACATGCTCCGGCAGCCTCGACATCACATGTGTTCAGCATACCCATGCTTCAAAACAGTGGTGGGGGCACTTTTAACTAAAGCTTGTCAAACGAGCTTTAGTTTAAGTGCCCCCACTGCCATTCTGAAGCACAGGGATGCTGAGTACCTAAGACACTGTGTGCTTTAATTAGATCAGCTCCTGAGAGCTGCTTGAATTAAAGCGCCCCTCATACCTACCCCGAAGCACGTGTACAGATGCCCTGTGTGACCAAGCAGTCACACAGCATGTCTGCTGGATGGCTGATAAAGTATATGCGTTACTCCAATGCTGTTGTTACAGTCAGTTGTCCAAATAAATAAAATCTCCATGATCCATTGTTATGCAAATTGGGGAGGCCTGCAAGCTCTTTTGATTTAGCTTCATGTCCTCTTTATTTTTAAATGTTTATCCTGCCTGTAAAATTGCAATAACCATAAATAATAATTTTATCTTTCCCAACCACCTGTATAGTCTTGGCTAGAGATTTAACAGCATGTCACTTCACCTTCTTACATTCTGCAACTTTCCTTCAACTGGTCTGGTTACCACATCATTGCTTAGGCAGAAATGTTACCGGGTGCTAAAATAGACATATTGTACCAGTCAGATCTCAATTAAGCCAAACTTTTTTTTTTTTTCCCCATAGTGTGCTGTAATAACTAATGCTGGGCATTCCTCAGTAGCCCTATTTATACTTCATTTTTGGCAGGAAATAAATAGAATTTTTATTGCTTTTTACTCCTATTTCACACATCTGCTTCCTTCTTTTTCCATATCTGCCATGACTTTTTTTTTTTTTTTTTTTTTTT